CTCTTTCCATCCAATATTATACTTGCCTTTCATTTAACTAATTTTTTAAAAAAAATTCAAATATCTGCATTGTCAATATATTTTTTTAAATAATATACTCTTTTATTACTATTTTGTTCATTATATGTCAGTGGGGATTTGTGCCAATTGGTGTTCACTGCTATAATAAAATACCCGAGACAAACCGACTTAAAGGAGGAAAAGCTTATTTGGGGCTTACTGTTCCTGTGGCTTTCGTTTACTAGAGCCATGGTCGGCTGACTCTTGCTTTTGGGCCTATTGCTGGGCAGAACTCCGTGGCTGGGAGTGTGCCCTAGGACAAAAGTTCTTAAGTGAAGGCAGCTGGGAAGCAAAGCGAGAGAGAAAGAAGCTGGAGTCTAACTTACCCTTCAAAGGCCTTACTCCATTAACCCAACTTCCTTCCACTTCATTCACCTTCTAGAGGTTTCACAGTTTTTCACCACAAACTTCAGGTCACACCGTTAACATTTGAGCCTTTGAGGGAAGCTTAATACCTAAACCTAGCAATATCACTCAATGTCAGGCCATGTTAGCATGTCAATTGTTCTTTATAACCCCGTGGAGCCCAAATAAGTATGAATTCTATCAATATTTGTACAATCGTTTCCCATTTGAGGTTATCGACAATATTCAGTGTTATTAATAATGCTCTCCCAAACCGAACGTTGCTGTGGGATGATTCTTCGATGGGATGTGAATATGTGTTGCTCTCAGAGAGGAGAAGGGCGGAGTCAGAGAGAGATGCTATCCAGCCTCCCTGTGAGCAAGATGTACTAGAGGACAGGTAAAGCCAGGAAGCCACGTAGCAAAATGTAGATTAATAGAAATGGTTAATTTAAGTTGTAAGAGCTAGTGAGTAATAAGCCTGAGGTATAGGCCAAATATTTTGTAATCAATATTAAGTCTCTAAGTGATTATTAAGAAACAGCTGTGGGATGGGGCGCGATGGAGAAACATCCATTTACAGAAAATGCTGAAACATAAATTCTTACCATTTTCCTTTATCCTTAGAAATAAAATTTCTGAGTCAGTTCTTCATATGCACTGAAAGGTCTGACAGACAGACCAAGACCTTGAGAAGGTTGCAGCCATCTTGACTCCCATTCACACTGCCTGTAGAGCTGTGCTTTCTAACTTAGAGTCATGGAAATACAGTCCATTCTTATTTTAATTCTCCCAAATTATTAACAATTTTCAGATATATTCTTCAATGTTCAATCAATGTCTGCGTTATTCATCAAATCTTTCATCCTTTATGCTAGCTGACATTTTATTCCATCTACATTAAGTGTAAACATTTTTCATGGGCAAACTTTCCTGACTATTTATAAGATGCCGTAGCTGAGACTGTACTTCACCTTCCTTCCTAGAAAACATTTTCACTGGGCATGGAGTTCTGATTTGATACTTAAGAGTGTTTAAAATATAATGCTTTCCCAGCTTCATCTGGGCTTCTTAGTTTTGATAAATGAGACATATTTTTGCTATTATTATTTAATGTGACCAATATAAATTTCTTGAGATATTTTCTTGTTGCTTAGTATCCAGTAGAGATTCGAATTCACTAGATACTAAATAGCTTCTACCCTCTCTTCCTCACTCTCTATTCTCTCTCATAGAAGCATCCACCCATCTCTATAGAAATACATGAAGACATATTTACATTCATAACAGAAGTTGCCTAAGACATTTTTATGAAAGTCTGTATTTATGAGGTATAATTGTGAATAATTTTAATGCAATTATCTATTCGTACACTACAAGGGGGATGGCCTATTTATTTTCTCCTAGTGTACAGCACTTTAAAAACATTAGCCCTTCTTGGGGTTTGCTTTTGTTCCGAGTAAACTTGTTCATTCATGTGATCATGATTTCCTTTGCTTTGCTCAGTCAGGAATAAGATTGTCTGCTCATGGATGTTTTCCACCAGCAATGGGAATGCAGAAGCATTCGATGCAACATTCTGCGATTTACTGTTGTGATTTCATACAGTTCCGCCTAGGTTTTCATATGTGTTTACTGCATAATTGGCTTATTTTGCCTGTGAAGTATTTCAACTGTGTAATGCCCTTTCTCTTTTATCCCACCGTTTCTTTGAACACATGATCTCATCTGCTGTGTTTCCCAGCAACTTCTCACAAAGCTCTACCCACTTGTGACACTTTCTATTCCTGCCCCATTTCTGGAATGCATTGTTCTCTTCCAAACATCTGCTCCTAACATCTGCGGATTTGGCAAATTGGAGTAGTGGTACAGGGTGCTATACAAATGTGTTGTTTATTATGGTTCATTCTCCCTGGCTTTTTAAGGAGTTATAAAGTAGTGGAAACATGCTAACACAGTTTATTCTTAAAGGACAACTACAAACTGCAAAGCACATACCCCAAGCAAAATTTTTATGATAAAGGCAAATACTAATGTGAGCATTAATAGAGGCTCATACATTCACTTAACATTTTAAATAAAGGAAATCCATCCATTTCATTCATATATTGGTATGCAGGATTTCTTAGACAACATAAACAGTCAAACTTTCTTTTTGGAGAGCTAGGTTAACAGGTTCAGGGTCATCTGGTTGGACCCTATCCCACTTCTTAATCTTCTTCTATAAGGTCTTCTAATTTAATGGGTTTTCTGTTGTTATTACAAAATGCATGAAGTTGGGTGAGTACTTACACACAAAAAAATGCTTACTTAGCTAACATTTTGAGAGGCTGAAAGTGATCTATAGATCATGTGGCCATATCTGTTTGCCTTCTAGTGAGGACCGCTTAGGCTGTGTGACAACAAAAATAGGCATGCTCAGGAGAAGCCAAGCACAGGAATGAACTGGAGTGCGAGGGAACTAAGTTCTCACTAATCCTTTCCAAGGATGTCAACCACAAGGACTAAATTTTTTTCCAGGAGACTGTGCCTTTGAAACATTTTATCGCCTCAACATTGTACACTGGTGTTGTGCAATATTAGCTGAAGAGTGTTACATTCGTTTACCCTGTGGAACATTTGTTTAATGATGCAAAGATATGTTGACTTCTTTTATGTCGCATTTATTTAACTCTGTGAAGCTGTATTACTTTGCCTGTCTGAAACACCTGATTGGTATAATTAGAGCGCTGAACGGCCAACAGTGAGGCAGAAGAAAGGATAGGCGGGGTTGGCAGGCAGAGAGAATAAATGGGAGGAGAAATCTGGGAGGAAAAAAGAAATAAGGAAGAAGAAAAGACTCCAGGGGCCAGCCACCCAGCTATACAGCAAATCACAGAGAAATCAGTTTTTAAAAAAGTACAGAAATAGAGAAAGATAAAGTCCAGAGGCAAAAGATAGATGGGATAATTTAAGAAAAGCTGGCTAGAAATAAGCCAAGCTACGGCCAGACATTCATAAGTAAGAGTAAAACTCCTTGTGTGATTTATTTGGGAGCTGGGTGGCAGGTTCCCTAAGAACAAAGAACAAAGAGTGAAAGAGTAGACAGTGGAAAACAACCAGTAACACAAAAACCAAGCGTCCAGCACAGGCAGCTTGGAGATTACACACTCGAACCACAACCAGTCCTTGCCACTTTCCTCCGGAAGATACTTTACCTTACTGAGGGATGTTTTGTGGTTCTAGAGTAAAGGTAACATTGGGTCTAAGTGCCCCAGTGTAAGACCAGCACACTGCTCCCCACACTGTCCGTGGTGCCCTGTGTTTCAGGGAACTCCTCACGTTCTTGTTCAGACCGACTGCTCTTTCTGTCTTTGATCTTGGAGGCAATTCCAGAGCTCTGTTCTAGTCCAGCTGTTCTATATATTACTCTTGTGGTTCCTATGACTCTGCGGAAAGTTGTGGCTAATCTTCTTCCATTTCTACAGCTGCCCAACAATTCTAAGGGCATGGATTCACCTGTTTCCCTGCTCCGTCCTTTGATATTTTCACATCTGTTCGTCTCCTTAGTGTGTGTTTAAGAGAAAGGAGATAGGAGTACATGGATGTATGTCAGGTTCCTTTTATTGGGGATTACACTTAAAATCAACACAACAAAGACACAAATCACCGTGCTAGAGAGAGGGCCCTGTGGATGAGAACACTGGCTATTTTCCAGAAGACCTGGGGTTCAGTTCCACCCACATGGCAGCTCACAACTATATAACTCCAGTGCTGAGGAATCTGATGCCCTCTTCGAGGCTCTGTGGGCAGTGGGCACAAACATGGTCCACAGACATACATGCTGGCAAAACACCACCCCCCCACACACAAAATAATAAAAAAGAAACACCCAAATCACGTATTATTAAAGATGATTTTATTGAGTTACAAGATAGAGCCTATAAAAATAGGCTGAGTAAAAATTTTACTGTTCATCGGAAACTAGAATCTTCACATATTAGAACGTATTTTAAGTGGCTAAACTGTTAACTACTTATGTATTATTTAAAATCTTCACTATTAAGGCAAGTATTTAGTTATGCACTGAACCCTCAAATTTAAAAAAAAAAACAATCAGCTAAAGTTCATACCAGATAAAGCAAATTTAAGTCTTATTAAACTCAAGGAATGTTTGCCAGTGAAGGAAACACAACTTCCCCATCTCTTCAGAGGAAATCACCACATTTCCTATAGTCTCAGAGTCATGTGCTAATACTATGCCCTGTTTGGTTTTACTTCCTAAATGTACCCAGGAAACACTGTACTTTGAACCGTGATCCCCTCTTGGGCCCATTCTATGCAGTAAGCCACTTTCTGGAGATGCTGGGCAGCAGCTGTGAGCAGCATCTCACCTTAGCCGCATGACCATGGATGGGCTGAATATCGCATCCCTCCTGACTCACGGTGCTGAGAAGGATGGGCCTTGAAAGCGTAGGTATAGCAAATGCATTCTTTACGTACAATCTTTCCAGTTATGGTGTACTTATGGAAGGAACCCTCCCCGACTGTCAATCAAAGAGCTCAATTGTCCTCCTCCTTCTTTCCCAGGAAGGCATCAAAGTCCCATAAAAAAACGGTTTCAAAGTTTAAGCTCCTCTAACATTATCTGATTATAAATTTCTTCCGTCAATGGAACGTAAGCTTTATTCAAGTTATCCATAAAGTAAAGTGGGTCAGAAATCTTCAGCGGATGAAATCCTTCTTCCACCAATTGTATCTTCTGAAGCTTGAATGTCCCTGTTGTTGCCATTTTCTCCTAGGAAACAATTACAGATCTGAGTGGAACAAGTTATTAGTATGGTATGCACGGTAGCTGCTACGTATGAGTACAGTGTTTAACAATGTAGGCCATATCTCCTTATCATAGTTTATATCTTTACATTTAGTATTAATTTAACATTAGAAATAGAAAACTTTAATTCATCTGTAAACTTTATTGAAATACTAGCTTACTGAATGCATAGTAATTATTAGGATAATCAATAAACAAAGTATGTTTGAAAGACATAGACATACCCTAACTCATGACAATACCAAAACAATATTATAAATATACAATGTTGTCATAAGAGAGTTATAAAAGACAAAATTTATGACACACGTATTCTCTAGTAGTTCTAGAGAGTAGGTTCTAGTAGTTTGTGTCTCTGGAGTAGAACGAAACGACGGAGTTAGTTTTATTTAGCCATACTGAGTGCTATCACATTTAGAAGTTCTGTTATGAGCAAAACTACCCTGTTAAGAATGTGAATTAAATTTTTCACAAAGAAGTTGCTTTATGGGAAGTAGATATCTTAATTAAGGGAGTTATTTTAGGGTTGGCAAGAGACTTGACTCTAGAGGGGTTCCCAGGTGTCCAAGGGGATGTCCCCAACTAGTTCTGTGGGCAACAGAGGAGAGGGTGCCTGAACAGGCCTTATCCTATAGCCACACTAATGAATATCTTGCATATCGCCATAGAACCTTCATCTGGCGATGGATGGAGATAGAGACAGAGACCCACATTGGAGCACTGGACTGAGCTCCCAAGGTCCAAATGAGGAGCAGAAGGAGGAAGTCAGGACCACTGACTGAGATGGTGGTGCTGATCTAATGGGAGCTCACCAAGGCCAGCTGGACTGGGACTGATGGAGCATGTAATCAAACCGGACTCTCTGAACATGGATGACAATGAGGGATGACTGAGAAGCCAAGGACAATGGCACTGGGTTTTGATTCTACTGCATGGACTGGCTTTGTGGGAGCCTAGTTTTTTGGATGCTCACCTTCCTAGACTTGGATGAAGTGGGGAGGATCTAGACTTCCCACAGGGCAGGGAACCCTGACTGCTCTTTGGAAAGCGTGAGGGAAGGGGAGTGGGGGGAGGGAGAGAGAAAAGGGAGGAGGTGGAAATTTTTAATAAAAAAGGAAAAAAATTAAAAAAAACAAGTTGCTTTATTCATATGGTCAAAAGTAAGTTTTAGTTCTGTATTTTCTCAGATTACTTATCGCTATAATTAATTTGTTATATATATTTTCTGAGACAGGGTCTCACTATATAGCCTTCCTTGTCTTGAACTCACTATGTAAACCAGATTGACCTCAAACTCAAAGAGATCCACTTGCGTCTGTAGAGTGCTAGGATTAACGTGGGTGCCACCAAGCCCTGCTGCATAAATATTTTGACATCTGTGTATGAAGCTTTAAATGATATGCTTTCTGTTAATTGTAGCAAATTAAATAATAATCATTACTGTAATAGTGAATGTTCTATTTGGAAAATTAACGATATTAAAAGATTTTCTAAATGCTTGTGATGCTGAACTAGTCTAGAATAGTTCAATGATAAAATGTGGCTTCTGCTTCTGTGAGTAAATTTTAAGCTATGCTAGGAATAAGGGCTAAAATATTGCTTTCTAAATCTGTGTTCTGTTTTGTGAAGATATATTTCTTGTGGGACAACAGGGGGGATAAAGGGAAGAGTGGGAGCAGCTATAAAAGGCAAAGGTAGCAATATTGGCTGCTTCCCTCCCTTGGAAGCTTCTATTGCATCTTCTAGTACCATAAAAATTAATCCTCAGTACATGCAGTAGGATCAAAACCCAGTGCCATTGTTCTTGACTTCTCAGCAGTCCTCATTGTCTGCTATGTTCAGCGAGTCCGGTTTTATCCCATGCTTATTCAGACCCAGTCCATCTGGCCTTGGTGAGTTCCCGATAGATCATTTTTATTGTCTCAGTATGTGGGTGCACCCCTCGCGGTCCTGAGTTCCTTGCTCGTGCTCTCTCTCCTTCTGCTCCTGATTTGGACCTTGGGGTTGTAGTCCGGTGCTTCAATGTGGGACTGTGTCACTGTCTCCTTTCATCGCGTGATGAAGGTTAATATCCAGGAGGATGACTATGTGTTTTTCTTTGGGTGGGAGCCTAGGCTGTTTGGATGTTCACCTTACTAGACCTGGAAGGAGGTGGGAGGGCCTTGGACTTCCCACGGGGCAGGGAACCCTCACTGCTCTTTGGGCTGATGAGGGAGGGGGATTTGATTGGGGGAGGGGAAGGGAAATGGGAGGTGGTGGCGGGGAGGAGGCAGAAATCTTTAATAAACAAATAAATTAATAGAAAAAAATTAGTCCTCAGAGAGGAGCCTTTCAGGCCACATGAAGCTCAGATCCTCTGGCCACTGTGTCTTAATTCATAAGGACTTATATCTTAGTGGTAACCAAAGATTCTCTAACTGGACTTAGGAACTTCTCAATAACGAGAAGATCATGCCTTGTATTAGTAATGTATCCAGCTATCCGAGAGAATACACCTAGCTAGTGGGGTCATGGATCTTGGAGGAGACCCTACAACCTCCATATTACTAAACCAGTGTAATTCCTAGCTGTATTCTAAATATTTAGTTATACCCACAGATAACAAACATTTTGTTTGAAGACTATCACAGAAAACTACAACTTCAACCAACATACCTATAACACAACTCCTGCACATAAGGTTCAGAGAATAGTTTCAAAAGAAGGGACAGAAGATTGAAAGAGCCAGAAGAACAGAATTTCTGCTGTGAGATTACATTTCCTAGAAAGGCCAGGAAAGTTAAACTTATGACATCGCAACAACATGGCTGCCTAAGCAAGACTTGAACGTGGATGACACCAGCAGACATGCTAACACAGAGGAAGAAATCTCACAGGGTCTTCAACCTAGACTAGGAACTAGAGACAGGTAAAGAATGCTGGGAGTGAGATGAAATAATCTTCCTCAAGGAAGAACCCCCAAATTGATTAACCCAACACCAAATAGTAAGCCCTGAAAGAATGTATATATAAGTAAAACATTATATGGACTGAGCAGGCTGTATTTATTATATTTAGAATTATATATTAGGGATTTATATATATATAACATATATAAAGAGGGTATATAGAAGGTATACAAAAGATGATGTATAGGAAACACATGCACATGACATGTAAGTACACAAGTAAATATGGGAAAATTGATAGTAAACTTGGATTGGTAGTGCCACATGTGCCTGTGTTAATGTGAGTAAAATATATACAAGATATATATAGATATATATATATATATATATACAAGATATATATATATACAAGATATATATATATATATACAAGATATATATATATATATACATACATGTTAACACTTAAAACTAAATGCTAGTCCTCAACTTCATCAATTCAAGTTCCAACTAATATATGTCACTTCTTTTTCATATTTATTTGCCTTTATAATTTCAGAGAATTTTTCTGAAAATTATCTAATATATATATATATATATATATTAGGCAAATGAAATATAAATAACTTCAGATGATGTGCACCGTGGATAAGAAGTGTTTTGGCTATGAGTATTGATTTTCAAATGCTATAAAAACGAATGTAATTTCTGTTCCACTTATTACTTGATAGTAACATAACACATATATTCTGTAAAAGTCTGTGTGTTATAATGCTAAAATGGAAAACTACTAAGTTTGGGAAATTGCATTTGAGCCGCAGTATTAACTGAGTAACTGAACAGGTAAAGTTATCAGTAGCTGAGTAAGTTATTTTCAAGCCACTCCTTACTAGCAATCCAACAAAACGAGAGCCTTTATCCCAACATAGGTGAGCTCAGGATTTCCCACAATGCAAGAGGGAGAGGACCTCACCTAAGGACTGTACAAAGAGGGTGGGAGGAAGATATGTGCAAGGTACAGTTTTGGTTTGCCACCCTCACTGAGAGTATCACTTGGTCCAGAGGTCCTTGCTGAAGAGGAGAAAACTCCACAGGAAGGACAAAGACAAACCCAACACTTTGCTTTCTTCTCACACAACTCCAAGTACAGCATCAAAGAGCATCAGCAATGTATCTTTCTGCTTTTTATTCTTAAAATTTACTAATATAAATAAAATTCACACATTATCTAAAGGAGACAGCAGCATTTTGCTACTGACTCACCTCTTGGTTCTGGTTCTTACATTTAACAATAAAGTTTGAAGCTGTAAAATTACCTGAATTCTTAAAAACCGTGGGCAGGCATAAGCCGGTAGAGATGTTACAACTTGGTCGTACATTTTCTCTAAGTCTAAAGACTTGTTTGGTTTAAGAATAATAGAAGCCATCCCTGCTTTTCCTTCGTAACCTGGGGGAAGGTTTGGAATAAAATCAGTGTATTACCAGACAAATTTTCAAGATCAGTCATGTCACACACTCCTTGCTACTGAGACACTTGGTCTATTCCAGAGGTAACAATGTGGCAACTGAGTCTGTGTCTTTCCCTGATATATGATGTAATCACTAGAAATAACTGAACAATAGGGAAGACCACACTTTGTCCTTGGTTGTACTTCAGAAATGAAACTAGTAAGATGGTCAACGAAATAAATTAGGTATAATTTGTATCCCATCGCGACAAATATTAAGAATGAAAATATTTATTTAGAGGTAACTATAGACCAGCAAAAAACATACATTTTAATTACTAATGAAAAAAAAAAGAAATAAAGGGACTATTTGAAGTAAAAAAACAACCCAGAAATGGGTATTTTGACTAAGGCCGCCTTGCTTACCACCTGCTGTGCCATCTGCAGACCTCAGAGGACTGATGCATTTCTCCCATCCTTGGCGACAGCTTCTGAACCTGTCCCTTCTTCCTCTGCTGCATCCCTGGCCTCCCCGCCACCCACAGCATTAGCAGGAAACACTGTCACTTGCATTAAAGGACACACTTTTATCACACGTGGTATTATTTAACATTTAAACTAGAACGTGTTCCGGTCTAGTGGGATGCACCAACACTTGTCATAACAAGAAAACTGAGACAATAGGAAAGATCACTTTCAATGATTTCCAAGCAGTAAGACCCTGGCCACGTTTTCTAGCTCCTGCCTAAAAAAATACAGAACGTGAAAGTTCGTATGTACCTCTTCTCTAATGTGTCCATCAGGTTTCTTAACTTATCCAAGGACATTGTTTGCCAAGGCAAGATGAGAACTTGTAAACTATTAATTTTAAGATGTAGAATTTTAAATATTGAGTAAGAAAGTAATAGAACCTAAAGTGGACATACGCTTTTTTCCTACAAATCTCAAAGTTGTCAACATCCACGTACCCGGCACAGACACACCATATACATTTGCTTCCTGTATGAAGTCCAGCCTCCCGATCACGTCAGCAACCTCTGTGGTCGCAACATTTTCTCCTTTCCACCTAAAAGACAGACGGATCTGAGTGAGAGTGTAGGTATTTGAAGAGCCGACTCCCGCTTGCAGTTTTTGTGACTTGAGTTTGGCTCTGTGAAGCATCTAGTGGCCAAAAATAACTAGTTGCCAAGTGAAAGCTATGCATGTCTTCTAAAGCATTTTGTTCAGGGTTCAATAACAGCAGCAGCTGTGGTTTGGTTAAAATAACTTAGAGTTTTATTGGTATAAATTGTTCAGTGTTAAATATTTTTAATAGAGTCATAAAATAAATCATGATAAGGAGGGTATATTAGTACAAAATCACTACTTTGTACAACAGTAAAAATTAAGTTTAAAATTTTATCTTTGGTAGTAGGAATTGAAAGAAATACTACATCTGCCTCAGTATCTTAACCCACTTTAATCTCTAGGTATTGACTCCTTCAATTCTGTTATTTTAATGAACACAATTTTATAAGATGAGAATTTGACATACTACTAATTTATTCCGTTTGTCTATTCATCAAGCCCTTGTTAGATACTTACTCTATGCTCTTGACTAGTCTATTGAATGACATTGAATAACAAAGTAAAATAAACTTTTAGGTAGGCTAAGACAAGTTTTAGAAATTGGAAAATAAAATGTTAACTGAGCGAGCAGTCTCAGTTTCAAAATACTTTCATTACATCATAAATAATCTCAGGACTTGTGAGACAGCTCAATGAATGGAGACCCTTGTCATCTAACCAGAGTTCAGTCCCATGAACAGACAAGGTGGGAGAAGAGAAACAACTCCCCAAAGCAACATGCATGTGTGTCATGTACTCTTCCTCCCCAACACTAAATAGAGAAATGAGAGATAAGAAATGAATGAATGAATGAATTTATGGCTCTTCTGTTTAATCCTAACTCGCAACTTCACACAGTACTTGTTTTTAACGCTAATACTAGCTTCTCACGTCGCTTCTGCTTTTGTGTCCTACTGATTGGGTACAGACTACTAATTAGTTTTTAAAAACACTTAGAGTGTTTGACATCAGGACTCATAGTTCATTCTAGAAATGAATCGTGAGTGAATCTTTGAGCGGAGGAATCATCATGGAAATGAAAGGACCCTGTGTGTCTGAAATCACAGCAGCAGCGTCTCTGCTTTCCACAGAAGATGGGTTCACAGGCACAGGACCAGCTGGGCATCCAGCGCCATTCCTACCTGAAAGTGTCTCCAATACGGTCCCAGAAATAAAGGAAGTTCTCGTGATCTTGGACCATGAGGTCTCCTGTATTGAAGTAAACATCTCCCTTCTTAAAAACATCAAAAAGCAGCTTGCTTTTCGTGTGCCTGTAAGAGCCAGCGTAGCCAAAGAAAGGATTCTTCGTATTGACGCGAGAGATGAGAAGTCCAGGTTCTCCTGCAAGAGAAAGGGCCATTTTTGCAGCCATCTGATCTGACAGTATCTTAGCAGACTGTGCACATGTACCTAGTTATAGCAGACGGGCCCAGCTCCTGTAGGCTCTTATTCCCTTGGTGTTTGTTTCCATCCCACTTAATGGCATTTATTCTTGATGCCTACGTCTAGAATATTCTTTCACAGACAGCTTTGAAAAAATTAATGGCAGGAATTGTATGCAAAGGAAATGTGAATTTATTTTTTTTAATTAGTTGACAGACTAAAGGTAATGTCTCTTGGAACTGCCCAGATTTTTAATGCAGGTAATACTAAGAACAAGTCACTCAATAGTTCAAATAAGCTGTTAATAGCAGTACATATTAGGGACCATGCCTGCTCTGCAAATATAATTGCATTTAATTTGATTAGCTATTGTTTGAAACAATTAACAATTCTTATTAACAATTAGCATTAACAATTCTTACTTCACAGAAAAGCAAACAAACAAAAAACGAATGTCCAGAGGAATGAAGCCAACTGTCAAAATCAGAAAAGGAAATGGATGTAGAACTCACAATGAAACTTTTGCAATTTTGGATGAAAGAATCTGTAATGGAGGCTGACCCAGTTAACAAAGTAGCCTAGTGTTTGGTCCTCCAGGATGTTTTTCTGGAAACACTTGACAGGGAAATGGATGGCATTAGAGAGATTCCCATCTCATGACACTTATGAGTGCCACTCACGCTTAGACACTTCTGAAATCATTATTCTAGTCAAGCCCATTTAATCAAGGTTGTGCTTGACGCTCTGCGAGACAGGATTGCATTTAGAGTAAAGGAAAGCGGCTTTCACAGCAGCCGCCTCCTAGGCCACTGTTTACCTCCTGGATTAGCTGCAGAGGTGGGATGAGTACTCACTGGGCTCTCAGCAAGGGCTGCACCTTACCTCTCTGGACAAAGATGCAGGCTCTGCTCCCGCAGAGCCCCACTGATTCTTTCTCATCCTTTCCATGCCCCACTAGCACCACCCCTATGACATCATCGCCACAGTCCTCTGGCACACTTTATCCTAGCATCACTGTTCATAGAGCACAGCCCATCTATCCACCCCATTCTCATCACAAACCTCTGAGAAAGGCCTTGGCTACATTTTGTTTTTACCAATGCAGAAAGGGAGGCAGACAGAGTAATCTGCCCAATGTTATACAGCCATAGAAGTCATACACGTAGAAGTTGGGGTATGCATTTTAGGACTAGGTCCACATTCCTCCAAAGCCTCATATATATATGTATATATATATTGTGTAGTCTGTCAAGCTACATTTAATATTCCAGAATTAAAAAAATACTCCTATCTTCCTCTCAATTTGCATAATGAAGGCACAAGGCTGCAATAGAAAGTAAAATGCAATAGCTCATCATGAGGATTCTAAAGTGGAGCTGGCAGTAGTTTTAGAAATGCTGAAATTACATAAACATGATCCCAAGGTTCAAGTTTGAGTTTCAGATCTCATGGTGGTTATGAGCAAACATGTTAAAAAAGACCTCAAGTTCTCTACATTTTCCAAAGTTGATCGTTTTCTCTTGAACAGTGCCTGGAGTTGAATTAAAAATTTTGAAAGTGTTTATTTTAATTTTAGTGTGTGTGTGTGTCTGTCTGGGTGTGTGTGTCTGGGTATGTATACTAGTGAATTGAGTGCAGATGCCCTCACAATCCAGAGACTCAGATTTCCAGGAACTAGAGTTACAGACAGTTGTGAGCTGCCTGACATGGGTTCTGAGAATTGAACTCAGGTCCATGTAAGAACAACACCTCTGTCTGTGTTATCTCTTCAGCCACCAAGACACTGATCTGATATGCAGAGGCTTGGAAGATTATTTTTTAAATAAATAATACTTTCTTTTGCAATATCTCCAGTGCCAGTAAGAGAACAACAAGAACAGCAAAGCGGGCTTACAACTTGCTTTATCACACTGAAGTCCAGATCTAGGAAGTTAACTCTTGTGTAGTGAGAGGCAGCATGAGGCCTCATAATGGAATTCAGGTTATATTTACGCGGATAGTATCTCTAGCCAATGCTAAGTGTACATCTAAATAGTCTATTTTCAATATTGATATAGAGGTAATCGAGATCTTTGTTTTCATCCAAATTTTTAAACTGAAACTTCTATATAGTCTACCTTGGGAGAGGAGTAAAATGGAGAAGTGAAGAAGGCAAGAAGCCATGAAGATTTATTCACAATATTTAATTGTCAACATGAGGCTCGTGAAATAATGTCACCTCTGATTTACATAAGAAGGAAGTTAGTCTAGGATCAGCTGATCTGACCAGAGTTTCATGTTTTCTAAGTGTCAAAACTCAAATTTAGATCAAAGGTGGCCTGACTTCTCCTTGTATCTAAGACAACAAATTAATTTAATATTATTGGTAACATGTGATGTAGACATTTGCCATGATTACTGCTGGGGAATACTGATCACACTGTGAACCCCGAGTTTGCATTTGCATTGACTAAATACAGTTAACCTTGGATCAGGAGGCTGAGTTAGCAACTAGTTGACAGAAATCATAGAGCATCAGAAGGCATCTGGGAGACGGAGAGACCCAGGAAGTAGTAGGGAGGGATCTGGAGTGTTACGGCTTGTTCTAGTTTGGTGGAGTCAAAGACAGCAAGGAGAGAGGGTTAGCTAGTTGATACTCCTCCACCTCTCTGAGCTGGCAGGTTTTCACCCCAGCCTTTGAATCTCAAGTCTTATTTATAAATAGAATGATAGAGATTTAGTTAAAGCTGCCTTTAGTGGCAGTGACAGGGCCTATGCCTGTGGGAACAGAATTCCCGCCAGGCTGCAGTCTGAGCAGCTGGGCTGCCACTAGAGATGCAGGTCCATAACTGCAAAGTGGCAATTGCTGGCTGAAATAGCATTAGGTTAAGGCATGGTCCCTGGGCCAAAATTAAAACAACAGATTACAAACTAGATAGGTACATGCAGATCAATAAAAGCCAAAGAGATGCCGCTTAACCAGTTAACAATTGGTCACTTAACCTAAAAAGGGCTCATTTAGCAGCAGTTAAACCAGTCCACCTGCATTCCAATCCAGGGTATATCGCATTCGGTACTGTGGTTCTTCCTTTCCTGCACTCAGCACCAGTTACGTGTGGATTCAGGCTCTTTGATTAAAAGGGCATCTTCGTAACCCGTCTTACCTTCTCGCACACGGTGGCACCAGCCTCGTTCGTTCCTCATTGGTTCATCTTTTTGAAAGTCATACTTTATCAACTCAAAAGCAAAAAAGAGCTGCGAACCCAAAACAAAGCAAAAACACATGAATGTTTTTCTATTTGTGCAACCACAGGAACCTCCAGTAGACTCTATGCTCAACTGAAACAAGGAAATTTAACTGACATATATATATATGAGATTTGAGAACCGAACTGGAAAGCAATGCAGGCCTCCCTCCTTGGCATTCATCTTGCTTCCTTTCTGCCTCGTTTCACCTTAGCATTGCCGGGTATTGCCCACGAGGGAATGAAAGCAAGCGACAGAAGGGACCCCGTCCCGGTTTCCTCATTCCTCTAACCACAGGCAGGAGGACCTGTTTCTGAGTCTTCAAAAACATCTTCTCTAAAGGGAAGTTTTAAACAGAACTAAGATACAAGCTCTGAATTATCGGGATTTTTGTTGGTGGTGTTTTCCTCAAGGCCTCCAGAAAAGTGACCAACTGCCTAAATACTATAATAACAAGTGTTTGGCTCTCCTCTCTGCCTTTCGAGTTAATTCCTCTAGACTAACATATAGGAGTCTGCCCATTTTTGTGGCATGAGAAGATGTGTCTGGTAGAAGGTCCTACTCATTTAAAAACCAGGCGAACAGGGTGTCCATTTCCTTCATCTTCAGACAGTCCCAGCTGCCCCCCCCCATGATGGCTAAGTCACAATGTCTCGCTGATACATCCTTTCTATTAAAACTGACCTGACAGTGAACTAAAAATTGCTCAGTCCAGCTGCCTCATGTTATTGGTCATTTAAACATGTAACCTTATTAAATGGAACTAGCAAACAGATTTAACATGGAGATGAAGAAATGAAGTAAGATAAAATTCCAAGAGCATACATATGAGGAGGGAGAAAAGGAGGTGAAGATTAAAAAATGCACAACAAGAACAAGTAAATTAAAAAAAAAATAAAAAGAAGCTGGGCGGTGGTGGCGCACGCCTTTAATCCCAGCACTCAGGAGGCAGAGGCAGGTGGATCTCTGTGAGTTCGAGGCCAGGCTGGTCTACAAGAGTTAGTTCCAGGACAGGCTCCAAAGCTACAGAGAAACCCTGTCTTGAAAAAGAAACAACACCACAAAATGGCATCACTAAGATAAATATGATATTAATATCTAAGTATAAATAAACCATATGTGGTGTTTAATCTTAGTAAAAAACAACATGCAATCAGATCCACAATTCACCATCCAAAAGTTTTTATAAATTATAGTTATTTACTGTGAGTGTATGTGTTTGTATATGTGATTGGGTACATGTGTGCCATTGTGGTGTGGTGTGTCGTGTGTGTGTGTGTGTGTGTGTGTGTGTGTGTGTGTGTGTGTCAGGGGACAACTTTTGGGGGTTGTTTTTTTTTTCTCTCTTCCTTCTGATGGCCAGGACAGACACTTTTATCTAGTGAGTCATCTCTCCACTCCAAGATTCATCATTTAATTCAGTTTAAATGATAACATCCAAGGTCAATTAAGCACTTATTGTAAGCCAAATACAGGGCTAAAATCTGAGAACTCTTAAGAGCTCTCTTTTAAGTGTGGGGACATTGTGTGTGGGGGTGACTAATGTCATCCCATTTGAAGACTAGGGCCAAATCCAAGAGGTTGCCATGAAAATATACCGTTCTTCTTTACATAAACCAATGTACATTTATATCATGCTGGCAGTTGTTGCTTTGATAACATGGTATTGTTACACTTGCCTAACAGCTGGTGGAAAGATTCCAGACATTCAGTCTAGTCTACATGCAACAGGAGAAAAGAGAGCCCTTCCCATCCCTCATCCTTTTCTCCCTTATTTTATATTGTGAAACACTTTCCCCACCGCTTCCGATATCAGTTTTGCTGTTATTTCTTTCCAATTAATTTGGTAACAGTGTACACTGGTGAGAATCATTTCAGAATGAGTTATACTCTAAGTGCGTCTGTTATAAAATGAATAGGAATTGGTGGCAGATCTTTGGAAAGTAGGCAGGATCAAAGCGTCAGTGTTCAGCTAGAAGTAGCTCTCTTTTCTATCTTTGAGAGTACAGAAATGCCTGTGCTGTAGTAATGCAAATAAAAGTAGTCACCGCACTTTAAAGTCTCACATCAAGTCATAGGCATGTGCATACATGTGCAGATCACAGCTGCGTGAGGTCCTGCTCACAACAATATTGCTGTGTTTCTCTTCAAATGATTGCATGATTACATGATTGTATAATGGCTCTGGGAGTCCCTGCTATACCTACATGCCTTCCTAAATATAGACGCACAAATGTCTATATTGTTAAGGAACCCAAAAGTCATTTTCTCAATTAATACATGAGGAACCTTTTATCCAGAGAAAAGTGCCCAGGTTATGAAGTCAAACAGCAACAGAGCTGGCAATGGAACTTGGTTTTCTGTCTCTGTGTCTGAGAAGTTTGCCTTGAAAATGATGTCTGGTCCCTCCTTCAACTTCTTATTCATTGTCTCCAGGACCTTGCAATGTTGTTCTTGTTACAAATGCATTCATTTGTCTCAGATGCTTAGGTTAACCAGATAGTAGCAATGGGGTGTTTAAGTGGTGTCGCTAAGCCATGCCAACAGCAGTGTGGCTGGACTTTGGGTCACACAGCTGCTGTATCCCAAGGGCAGGAGGAAATGGGGGTCAGTCTTGTGGACTAGAGAGCTGTTCTGAGTCTAGAAGAGAAGACAGTCTCTGGGTTCCGTCCATGAGCGGTTCCCTTGGTTAGATTTACATTGTCCTTTAGTTGTGATAAACTGTCACCTGGAGTGTATCAGCTCCCAGCCAGCTGATTTCTTGTCAGCTTCCATCCCAAAGGTGGTCCTGGAGGCTCGTGGAATTGCTGGTGATGTCAGAAATGCAGGAAGTCTTATGGCGAATGAGCTCTGACTTTGCCTTTGGCCAACTTTGCTCATGGTGGAGAGATGATTACATTTAAGATGATTAAATAGCTTGTAAAAACGTTAGGAAACAGACTTTTTAACAACCCCACATTTTATCTTTATTAGTATATCCTTGGGTTTACTGCTGTGGAAGAAAGACCACCTAAACTTCCTCCCTGCTCTCTCCTGTATATGCTCGTAATACATACATTTTATATTTTCAGATTTTGTTTTCATTCCATACAGAGGCCTAAAGTGGATCTGTTTAATTTTCTGTGTTTAAACTGCGTTAATACTGGCCATCAAACTTTTTAAATTGAAGGTGCCATCTTCTAAGTTTTGTTTTATTTTCAGACTTACCAGATATTTCCATTCAATTCATTTTCTCAGAGAAGAACAATATTCTTATAGCACACATATATTTTATTCTCTATTTGTGTGTAAAACTTTTAGAAAATTCCTTTGTTGTTCTTATACTGGGAGAGCAATTTAACCCATACTAAAATCCCTAGATGAAGGTACTTCATTTTTTGGTCTGGCCTTTGGCATTCTGTTTGTGTATTTGAGAGCTTCCTATGCCACGTTGTCAACCAAGCTATGTTTTGTACATCCCGTCCTGTTTTGTTTTTAATGCCTCAGCATCACCTGGTTCTTTGCATTTCGTTCATTCACTTCACTAGTGTGTCTTTTCCTGTCTGTTATTCTGCATCATACTTCATTTCCTGGAACACAGTACCCTCTTTGGCTAAAGATTCAATCTTCACGAGTATTTTCATCTAGTACAGTTACGAGAATTAATGTTAGTATGGTTATACTTATTTTTAGTATAACTATACTAATTATTAATAATATAGTTGAAAGAATTATTTTTCTCTGTGACCAGTCCTTTTCTGCAAGAACAGTTAAGCACGTGCCGGAACTGTCTACATTTAAGAGTTATCTTTTAACCTGTGTGCACAAATCTTTAATACTGTTCACTTTCTCTCCAACAATGTTTACAATCTGTTTTGTTTTTAAACTTTTAATGTGATATTAATTTCTATTACATGTTTATTTTTCTTCATTTATTTCTTTGAGATGAACTTGTTTCATTTCTAATTTCTTTGTTGATCTATGTTGCCCCTGAGGCCTCTTACCAGAGCTTTGATTTTTTTAAATATTTATTTATTTATTATGTATACAATATTCTGACTGTGTGTATGCCAGAAGAGGGCACCAGATCTCATTACAGATGGCTGTCAGCCACCATGTGGTTGCTGGCAATTGAACTCAGGACCTCTGGAAGAGCAGGCAAAGCCCTTAACCGCTGAGCCATCTCTCCAGCCCAGAGCTCTGATTTTTTAAAGAGAAAACTGTTATGATCTTTTCCTGAATTGATGGGAAAAATATTTGTGTAGGCATTCTTGGTCACTTTGAAGCACTTATTATTTTGATATGATTTGTCATCAGCTCCTTTTGGTCTATACTTATAGCTTCCCCCCCCCCCCCCCCAAAAAAAAGACATCTTGAAATTTGCAGGCAAATGGATGGAGCTAGAAAACATTTTGAGTGAGGTAACCCAGACCCAGAAAGACAATTGTCATATGTGCTCACTCATAATTGTTTTTTAAACATAAAGCAAAGAATAGCAGTCTATAAATCACAACCCCAGAGAACCTAGACAACAATGAGGATTCTAAGAGAGACATACATGGATCTAATCTACATGGGAAGTAGAAAAAGACAAGATCTCCTGAGTCAATTGGGAGCCTGGGGAACATGGGAGAGGGTTGAAGGGGGGAAGAAGGGAGGGGTGCTGAGAAAAATGTATAACTCAATAAAATCAATAAAAAAAGAAAAAATTCAAGCCCACTAAAGCTATTGTACTGAGTTATTTTTAGGCTGCATATATAGGGTATATGTGAAGCAGGTAAACTTATATATGCAGACTAGTGTTCTATTCCCCAAATCAAATATTGTGTATATGTAAGAACTCTAAAATCTCAACAACTGTGAAATATGAAATTCTATCACTGAAAGGCATTTTAAATAAAATATACTAGATACACAACAATAACAACAAAATTATTTCTCCAGATTAGCATTGGAAAAAGTGATAGCTGCTCATAACCTTGAGTTTGTTTCACACATATATTGTTTACAAACTTTTATTTTGTTTACATTGGGCAAATTTAATGGATGCCATCTCTTCAAAGAGCATGGATTACAGTTATAAACATATTGGGGCTACAGAAATTTCTCCTTCACTCTTAACATTATCTCTCTAGTTGGAAGCTGATTCCCCTCAAAACAGTAAGCCCACAAGGTTTTGTTTTTCTTTGTACGTTTGTTTGTTTTGAGAGGACTTTCTATAGGACTCTGACCATCCTGAAACTCCCTATGTAGAGCAGGCTGCCCTCAAAATCACAGAGATCTGCCTGCCTCTGTGCCCAAATGCTCAGATTAAAGGCAAGTGCCACCATTCCTGGCAAGGTTTGAAGCTTTAAGAGACATACTTAAAAAAATCTCCTTGCCTACTTCTGTAACAATCATTGATGCTTTTATTACTTGTACTATAAGCAGACAGCATGTAGCGGAAATGGTAAAAAGACAGGGTAGAACCCATATAGTCCAGAATAACTTAAAAAATACTATGAACAACTGGACTAAAATGAATTGAAAAATCAGTATTTCTCAGAAACAAATGGAGACAATGTGATGTCTTGTATTACTGACATCACGGAGGTTTCTCAGGAGGACACTAGAAAGAAGCTGAGCCAGCAACGTAAAATACTAGTTATCTTCATTACATGCTTGGGGTTTTCATATGATCGCAATTTTTTCTTAATTTCCTAAGTGGTCTGGTAATTTCTTTTAATGTTTCCCAAGTGCTTGAAAAGAAAGGGTATTGTACATCTAATAGATACAGGCCCCACAAATACCACTTAGTTTAAGCAGTTTGTTTATTGAATTATTCAAACATCCTATATCATTGCAATTTTGTTTATTTCTCCTTGATGTGTTTTTAAAAACAAATTTTAAGGTTGTTTAAACAAAAATTTCACCTTTCTTAATAATTTTTAAAATTATCTTTATTTCTGTGAATCTGCATGTGTACGTGTTTGGGAGTAATTGTCCTGGGTGTGCAGGTGTCCGAAGCGGCCAGGAGAGGGCATCAGATCCCACGCAGCTGGAGTTAGCACCACCAGGAGCTGCCTGAAACGGTGCTCACGTTCTGTGTCCTTGCTTTAATTTTCATTCTTTAAAAAATATATTATTGCTGTGTACTAGGAGGGAGCTTTTATAACTCAACATGGTATAAATGATCCGAGGTAAGAAGTAGTGGGAGAAAAAGACTCAAGGGGAAAGAGAGAGACTCGTCCAGGACTTGCACTTTATTCTTAAACATTGAACTTGAAAACTCAGCGAAAGTAAACCGTCATCCTCCTGCTGCGGAGGGAGCGCAAGGCAGATGACTGGAGTCTGCAGAACCCACGGCATTGCGGCTCACCCACAGCCACCTCTGCAGACACTTGCCTCAGCTTCAAAATTGTGATTAAAAAAAAATGTTCACAAGGTAGAAGTTTAAGCTCCAGACAAGAGTTTGTAGAACGCAACGTATTTCCTATAGAAAAAGCACTGTTTACCTTGTAAAAGAAGTTTGTCCTCCCGACTGACCCAATCTTCCCCGTGTGGTTCATGAAGCAGATGTTTCCTTCTGTAGCGCCATAGAATTCGCACATTTTAATATCTCCGAATCTGTCCAAAAACTGTCTCCACACATCACTGCTCATACCGTTTCCAACTGCCAAACGCACCTGATGGTCCCTTTCCCCATCTCTCTGTCAGAAGAAAAGATTTCACTGGTAAATAACTCATTTCCCGCTCTCTCTGTTATTCCTGCTATTTTTACGGTAACTGTCCTAAAAGTAAACAGGGCATGCACAATAGGAGAAGAGACGCAAATACAGTAAGCAAGTCAGAGTTTTGTTGGAGAAACGTGTCCAGTAGTTAACAAATAACTCTGGGTTACATCTGGTTCCTTTTCATATGTGGGAGGGGGTGTTCTTCCCAAATTACAAATTATGAAGACCCTTTTTGGGAGGGTAGACACTTAGAAGAAAGTATATTTCAGGATGTGAAAAACTTTTAAAGGATTATGAAATATTTAAAGTTTATTTCCTAGGCCTATCTTTTATTACCTGTATAATGTTGATATTGACTCCCACTCTGATTTTGTTTATTTATAAATCTTTATATATACATATATATGCATACACACTCATATATGTAAATATATATTAAAGGCTATAGACCCACATAGGAGATAACAGTAAATAAAACCCTTAGAACCAATGAAATAGTTAACTTAAAATGAGACAATGGGATGTAACTCATAGTTTAGAATGCACAATCTTCACATGCTTTTTTTTGTATTTCGAATTAAAGAAGAAATGAATTTTGTTCCATGTTCAAGAAAAATGTCAATTAATGTGGCTAATGCACATTTAAGTTCAAGTAAGGCCTTATTATCATTGTAATCCCAGTAAATTGATGATTTGCTCAGAACTACCTCTTGGTAACATATGATCCACTGACCACAGGATGTTTCAGCCTCTTCTCTAAGCACCACCAAAGGGTTTTAACTAAAATGTTCTAACCTATGAATGCTCAAGAATAAATAGAAAGGGACGAGATGTGATTGGGAGCCTAAAAGGTAAACAGGTAAAAAGACATGACTAAGAATTAGTGAGGTAGATGCACAAGCCTATATGGGGGAGCCAATCAGTGCTCCCCAATGTCAAGTAATCCCGTGAATGAGGGAACTATAAAGCTTGCCTGGCTGTCTTCCCTTGTTTGCTCCTTATTGTCTAGATGCGAGGGAAGTTACTCTCTGAATTCCAAATATAGAGAAAACAGTTGGGGTCGAGACATTAGTAAAACAGAAGCATTTAATGGCAGTTCCTTTCAGATTAGGGAAGTACCCCGCCCTAACTGTGATTCTCTGACATTTATTCTGAACAAGAGCAGTACACTCCTGAGTTATCAGATATATGACTTAAGAGAAAAACACATCAATTTTTAGAAGTGCCTCAATAAAATGGCTTGATCTCTTCCCAGGCATCTTAGAATCTAAACCTTTGGCTCCCAAGTACCATACATCTGTAATTAGATTTTGACGCCATTCTGAAATATTATTAAAGCATCGATTTTTATAGGATGAAGCCTGTGAAAGGATGTCTAAGATGTATGGGCTGCCATGAAAACTGTCCGAGAGAAAAATGTCTGTATCTGCAGAACAGTAAGAAAATAAAACAAAAACCATTATTTAATAGCAGTTTCTAAAATGGATGGGAGACTATTGAGCTATGTACTCAAGGTCAAAAAAATTTAAAATAATAAATATAAGGATGGTGCTTGAACATCTTCTGATAAAGTGAGAAGAAACAAAAGGGAAAGGGAGACAGAGAGAGGAGAGAGAGCAATAGAGACAGAGAGACACACACACACAGACATAGAGAGAGATCATTCTTAAAGAGACTGTGGAATTTTTTGTCTATTTTATATTCTCTGAACATATTGTTTAAAACTTTAAAAACAAAACATATCTTCAGAAAACTAAACACTAAACATGCACTGGATCTGGAGAGATAAGTCTGTGGTTTAGAGCATTTGCTGCTCTTGTTGGGCATTTGAGTTCAGTTGCAGAGGAACTGAGTTCAGGTCCCAGCACCTGTAACTTCAGCTCCAGGGTTCTGAGAATACCTACACACATGCAGCATACTCACACATAAACACACACATTCGTTTAGATAAAAAATGTTTACGAAGATATGTAAAACTAAACATTCATCTTTAGTAGAGTGGTACTAGATAGACCACAAAGGATGCTTCCAACATAAAAAGGTAGAGTATCACAGGTAGAGCAATGACTGAAGAGCAGAAAGGAGGGAAATGTTATAGAAAATGGGGTATGGTTATATATGACTGAATTAAGATATACTCTTGAGTGTCATTAATGCTTATGTGCACAGTCAAATTAGATAACTAGATCATTCAAGGGATAGGCTGAATTAAAGTTTTATAAAGTTACCTGATGGAGGAAGGTCATTGGTTAAAAAATAAAGAAACTGCTTGGCCTCATAGGTTAAAACATAGGTGGGAGGAGTAAACAGAACAGAATGCTGGGAGGAAGAGGAAGTGAGCTCAGAGGCCATGCTCCCCTCTCCCGGGCAGACGCCATGAAGCAAGCCGCCAGGTCAGACATGCTGAATCTTTCCCGGTAAGTGCACCTAACGATGCTACGCAGATTATTAGAAATGGGTCAGGCAAAATATGAGAATTAGCCCGTAAGAGGCTAGAGCTAGTGGGCCAAGCAGTGTTTAAATGAATACAATTTGTGTGTTGTTATTTCTGGTGTAAAGCTAGCCATGCGGGAGCTGGGCGGGACGAAAAGCAGGCCAGCAGCTCCCCACAACAGTTACCACCCAGTCAGTTACATGGGAAAATGCTGTCTTATGAGAGCATGTGACAGATTAAGGATCAATGCTATACTGTTTAAAGTAATTAAATTACTCAAGGGCCTAAAGGGAAAATGTTTACATTTTAAATTATGTGTGGGTATGGGTACATGCACTCATGTGCTTTTAAATGATTTTCTCTTAAGATTTCAGAAAAGGCTAACAGAATCTTTTACAAATTTACTGCCAAATATTTATATAGTTACACACACACATAGAAAGAATGAGAGATAGAGATAGTTAGATGATGGATGAATAGATAGATGATAGGTAGATAGATGGATAGATAGATGATAGATAATAGATAGATAGATACATACATAAGTCATTATCTAAACCACATAAAATACTTGCTTACTCTTCAGCCATATAAAGGTTACCCAGATTTCTGACAGAGTGAGATCTTCTCTCACAGATATCCCATGGGCTTAGTTCTCAGCAGGCATGATCATTTGGGTTTCAGTACAAAGAACCAGACTGGTGTGATGACATTCATGAAGGAGCCACACCAACGTTGAAGCTTTCATTTTCTTTAAAAACCTCTTCTACTGTCTCGTGCACCAGGAACTTAAGGGAACTTACCTACTACAGATCACTAATTCCGAAACAGTCTTTTTCTTCCAGAACATGGACTCCATCCAGCTCTGAAAAACCCTACTGCAACTGGCTCGAAGACCCTCTTTAGTTGCCTAGAAAACCTGAAACTCCATAGTTTCTCTTTAAATGCAGAGAACTCTATGTAACTTTACGTTTTAAGGAAATGAGAATGTTTGTTGTACATGTAGAGGCAGAAGTACCGGACACAAAACCAATTAACTACTGCCTACAGCTCCGCATGGCAAACTGTTTCCTGCAGGAAGCAGTGTTTCACCCTGGAATGATCATCTAAAGCACAAACAGAAGACAGTAGGAAAGTTGGTCCTTCCACTCTGATTCTAAAGGAGACCTCTTAGTTCTAAAGCCTACTGATAATCATGCATGCATGCATATGTCTAGCACACACCAATGCAACTTTAAGCACGATCACGCATTCTGACAGTGGGCTTTCCTTGCAAGCACTGCAATAACACACTGAACTAGTACAGGCAGGAAGTTAGGTCGGTTTACAGTATGGGGGCAAAACTGAGAATCCCATAGACCATGGTTTGAAACCTCGTGTACATATTTTTATTTAAAAAATAATGCTAAGGAGGGATAATGAAACCACATGTTCTTTAGATAAATCCAGATTTGCTAATTTAAAAAAAATAGATAGCTTCTAACCAAAGGAGGAGGTAGGGTAGATAAGAAATCTCCCCAAGATCACCAATAAAAGCATCTTGTAGATCAGGCTATCCAAGTCCACATTCTTTTCTGTGTTCATCTGTCTCATGCAATCCCACATAATTAAAAAGTTGTATTTGTCCCTGCCTCATCTCATCAGCATTGGAAATAATTAATGGAAGTAGTCTTCATATTTTAACCAGTAAAAACAGAGGAGATGGCCCACCATCCTGGGCTGAGTGAGGGATCTCAGGCCAGGAGGTATAGCTCAGTTACGGCTCCACTGTCTGTCCTCATGAAGGGTAGTATGCTTCACAATTTCTCTGGCTGATGTTGATTTGATTAAAGAAAAAAAATTACATCTTTGCTGTCAAGAGTGTTTAGGAAGTCAGAAAGCTTTTATTCCTTTTTTTCTTTCTTTTTAAAAAATATTTGGAAAGATAAATGAGACCAGAACAAAGGCAAGGACAGAGAAAGCAAATAAGCCACAAAGACACACTCTAGGCTTTGACAAATTTCTACACTGACCTATTTCTCATGCAGTGACAGCTGATCAAAAGGATGTCAGATCCACTGCTTTGGGGGTTGGGAGATGAATACCAATAAAGTTTCCTTTTAATGCTAAAAACATTAACAGGACTATACCCAATATAATCATTTATTCAAAAAAATAGTGAAAAAAATTCAAAAAAAGTGCAATTGCTCTTTTAAAAGTACAGAGTTTTGAAGCATTGCCAATTTTAAGCTTGGAGTTATTTTTCTGTAAGCATCATATGCATCTAATTTCATAATAAATTTCATAATAAAATTGAATTAGCCTGGACTTGCAGTACGCTAGCACATGGATCTGTCCTGTCCTGCTACAGAACAAAGCACACAATTGACACGTTACTGGGTAGTCTGTCTCTTATTTTCCAGAACTTTCGTATTTATTTCATCTTGTATTTTGTAAGCACCTCTGGGTCTTTGATAAATTATGTTCTGGAAGACTGTGGAGTGAAAGCAAAGAAACCAAAATTGCCTCCTGCCCTGCTCCCCAGCACGTTTTCCGTCTGAAATCCTCAGCACCTCCTGGACTGGTTTCTCCTACCTGAGGCTGTTTGCACAGATAACGGCAAAGTTCTCCGATGTACTGAAACACAGTCACGTTGTACTTCTTGCAATCATTCCAAAACTGGCTTGCAGAGAATTTCTTCTTTAACACACACGTAGCACCTGTGGGAAGAGGTCAAAACAGGCAGTAACTACCATGAAACTCAAATGATTCGGTTGTCTTAACAGATTCGCTCCCTTCCAGGGTTTTGATAATTCATCTTCAGTGACTGCTAGCAAGTTGATTTGGAAACATTACTTTTACAGCCCAGTAATCTCTTAGTGCAGTCCTGTGGTAGCTATGAGTTCTGACTGCAAATGTGCATTTTGCAGTTTGTGGAATGGAACCACCTTCAAAATTAGTAAGAAGTTTATGCATACTTCCACAAGTATAGAAGTCCATGTATGCCAGTGTAGAAGTCCGTGTATACTACCACAAGCTCTGGGAGAGCCTTCCATCCTTCGTCTCAGAGATGAGTGATATTGACTCATTTTATCTTTGCACAAAAACAGGCAATTTGTCCTGAAGACTTTATATCTGTCATACCCCAAAGCAGAGATTTAAGGAGCTATGCTAAAACTCCACTGACAAAAGTTCGCCAATGGATAAAGTGTCGAGTTTTAATAACATATTTTTAACATGATATCCTGTTTTTAATTGGAATCTAATTCACAATTAAACACATACAACCCAGTGGTTTTTCTTAGGGTCACAAAGGTGCCATCAGTGTCATCATCTTAGTCTAGGGCCTTTGTTTTTATTACCCCAAAGGAATTTAACTGCCTTAGCAGCAATTTCCAGCTTCCCTTACCCTTGGCAATCTTTTATGTACATCTACCTTAAATTTGCTTGTTATTGACTAATGTGGCATATTGTGCCTGGTCCTTTCATTTACTATAAAATGTGATTTGGGTCTGTTTATCTTGTAACATGCATCCGTATTTCATCCTCTTTATGGTTGAATATATCCATGGATATGCAACATTCTATTTGTTAATTCATTAGTAATACTTATTGGGGTTACTCGTTCTTTTGGCCATCAACACTAATGGTAACACGCACAAGCATGGTCAAGTGTGTTTGCATATTTTCAGTTCTTTTGGACATGTATCCATGAATAGAATCACTTGATCATATGACTACCCCATGTTTTACTGGCTCTGAGATCTAACACATACACACAGACCCTCACAGTGATGGAATCTTACTTCCAACTCTGCCCTTGGCTGTTCAATAAGATGTTCTTGGGGCAGTTAGTAAACCAGCTTAAGGCATTTCTACAGCTCAGTCCACACAATTTTGGTGTTCTTGGTGCTCTGGCTAGCAGTGGATTCCACCATGGAAGGTCGGGTACTGGGATTCAATAATAGACATAGATCAAATCTCTCTCTCTCTTCCACAAAGATAGGCTCGTTCTCTCTCTCTCTCTCTCTCTCTCTCCCTCCTCTCTCTCTCTCTCTCTCTCTCTCTCTCTCTCTCTCTCTCCTCTCTTCTCCTCCCTCTCTCCCTCTTCCCCTCTCTCTTTTCTCCTTCCCTCTAATAAGCTACTTAAAGTTGCTTACGGGGCAACATGGTGGCAGTTCCTTCCCCTGTGGCTTGCTCAGCATGCCCTTCCTTTTTACTATATTAAAATTGAGCGCTCTGCTCTGTTATCCAGTTTACTTAATTCCCAACAAGGTGATCTTTATGTGTGTGCACGAATGATCATCTTGTGGTGTCTGTGGAGAAGTGACTATGACCCTACACTCACATCTAACAATCCAGTTGTGATAGGAATGTAAGATTCTTTGTCCAGATTCTTACAGATGTTTTTAATGATGGAAGCTCTTTTCCTGTGAATCTTGACCGCACTCTGAGTAAGCTGCAACTGAGTACCAGGCATGCACAATCGGTAATGAATGAGCTCTAGTATTTCAGAGCTAGTGAATGAAGCATCCTTCTGCATGTCTTCAAATGGAACATCCTGAGTCATACACTTTATCTCAAATGTTCTTAGGTGTTTTGGGACAGACTGGGAAGAAAAGAAACTGGCCTTTCCAATTCCTTCCCCTCACTTACCTGTGTAATACAAATTTGTTCTTCTTGCCTGGAAGAGGTAGAGTTTATTTTCCCACTGTTCCAGTCTAGATGCTCGTCTGAGCTTTGGCTTGTGTTGCTCAGCAGAATGCTGCTGAAGTGACCCTTGAGTTTTGGGAGCTTGCTCTGAACAACTATGTGACTGACTGCCTGATGATCCTGGAGCTGGTCTGCCAGAGAATGAGCAACCACAAGAAAAAGGGAGTCTATACAGGGCTGAAATCACAAGAGCAAATGCCCAAGATTTGACTTTTGTAGTTTAGCAAAGTGCTATGTTACAAAAATGTCTCCTTGTCTCAGATATTACAATGTATTTATGCAATATGCAGTTCCTCGGACTTCTATGAATATTTGTAAGTTCCAATAAGCACAAGCTCAGACTAAATATTTTGGTGACCCATCAAAAAGAAAAAGCAAACTTACCTAACTCAACACACCCACCAATTCCAAGGAGAGCCCCTGAGCTATGGTACAGAGGGAGGGTTATATAAATAATGTCGTCAGCTGTGCAGCCGAAAGCCCACAGCCCAAAGGATCCCTTCAACACCTGCAACTGACTAATCACAGCTGCTTTGGGCAGACCTGGAAGAGAAGAAAAGAAAGAAAAATTAACCCCCACACATTCTCTGAGGGACTCTGAGTTCTTGGAAGGATTCCTGTCCACATTAAAGATCATGCTAATTGATGGCAGCGAGGTACAGTGTCATAATTGAGAAAGGTGAAATGTAGGCAGAGAGCCAAAATTATCTTCAGACAGCTTACATGCTTTAGGAAATGGCTATTTGTGTTTACTTTCGTATGTGAGCTAATTTTCTCATAACCATTGGGCAAGCTTTTTGGAACAAGCTTTGCAGGAGTCTAGCCTCCACCAACCTATAGCTAAGAATGCTTTAAAGTAATATCAAAAATATATTGAAAGAATTTTCCCACCTTGCTATAGCCAGCTTATCTAATGTCCCCGCCGTATTCTCAGAACGGACTGATTTATAATTTCCTTTGTTCCATAGCTTCAGAAGTCCATGAAACCCTTTCAGTGGCAGAACATACTTCCAGAGTAACTTGAACCTACTAGGCAGGTCACGGTCACTGTTATATGTCAAGTGTGTATGTGTGTGTGTGTCTGTCTGTCTATGTGCAAATATATATGTCCCATTACACATAGATTTATGAAGAAAGATTATCCTGATACTAACAACACAAAGAATTAAGACAAAAAGGCCTCAAATTTTTCTAGATGCCCTCTAGTAAAATGTGCAATGTGAATTGCTGCTATCATGAGGTTCTGCAGTCTTTAATTTCTGTAAAGGAAGTCAAAATCACACAAAATCAGAGTGCAGTGTCTGCCAGAAACTAATGAAAAAAATGCTAACATCTACAAATACATGCCCCCAAATGAGAGGAATTATAATATGCATCTAAATTGCACATAAAGTAGAAGCTTTCCAGAGGACAACTTCTCCAGGTAGGACTCGCACTTTGTAGGGATTAGCCATGTCTTGTATATGATCCTTTTGTAATGTTTAACCATGTCGTCTCATATGATACTTCAAAAATACAAGGTTCATGAAATATGTTGCAATGGTTCCACACATTTCATGAGCCAAACACGTTCCTTCTCTGTCTAGTCTTCCTTCACACATAATTAGTTTCTTATGAAAATATACAGTTGTAAGTAATATATAAAATATTTGTATTTTGCATAGTGCCTTAGTGCTGGCATCTATGGGTAAATATTTTCCTTACTGTTTTGGGATTTGTTATTGTTATAGAAAGTAATAATGTCAGTGTAAGAAATTCATCCATTAAAATGATCTGATTGGTTAACCCATATGACATTGTAAGATCATGGTTGGCCATTAGCACTTCTATGTCTTTCCAGGTATATGTCTCTATCATGGAACACAACTTGTATTCCTGATGATAACAATCACCACTCCAATTAGTTCATTAGATCTGATTTCATCCTATTCTTCTTACAATTTAAAGGGTTTTAGTTTTTCCAAATGATTTCCTGCACAGGCGGCCATTTTGAATCTCTCTCACTGAGGCTTGAGTTGGGTGGGGCTTGGTGGTCAAGGGCTCACCCGGTCAGCATAAAAGAGCATGTGGCACTGAATTCCATCCCCTGAGCAACAGAAACTAACAGATCAATCTCATTAAAAAACGTGTTTGCATTATAAAATGCTAAGGGGATAAGGCCAAATGGGGGGTTTCCTGGATGCAGGCAGAGAGGCAAAGTCAAGGGTGGCAGGGGACCACAGAAGACATCGAAGGAAGGGTCACAGTCCACAGAGACGTCAAGTGCGCTCCAGAAAGTCTCAAGCCTGCCTCGTTCGGTACCAGCTCTGAAAATCCTGACAGACTTTGTGCTCTATTTCCCTAATGGGATTAGACTTGCCCTCATATGTGAAGTTGGGATAATATTCACCACTATCATAAAATCATGGTCTTTCTTAAAAAGAATCCTTTGTAACTGCTCCCAAAAGCTTGGACTTTTAGACCCTCTACCGAGAATCCCTCCAGGCTTCCTCCTCAAAACTACACATTCGTAGGTGACATGAGACTAGTTCTAGTCACGATTCTAAAAACAGCTTTCTGATCCTCATCCAGAGGAGCAAATATTCTTGCTTTTTCTGCAACAGAGATGTTCTATGCCTTCATATCACACTGTCCATCCCATGGAGTGTCCCTGCCCACAGTAAACCAGCTCTCAAATTAAGCACCTGTCATGGAGAGGCTGGTCCAGAACCAGCAACACTACATCCCAAGCTCCTGTCACCTATCAGGGGACTTTAATGTACTTCTTGAGCTTGCTGCTTTCTGCAGCATCTTGGCAAGGGAGAAAGACTGAAGAAATAACTGAGGCTCTAGTTAGTAGGGAACCAAGAAAACATTGAAGGAATTCCCAATGTGATGGCGAAGAACAAATGCACAATAACAACACAGCAGCTGGACAGGACTGAAGGGGAAGGAAGGGTGTCTGGAACAGGGGTGTCTAAATATTGACTTGACAGAATGCATGGGGCTCCTTCAGTGTCTACAGCTGCATTTTCATTGTGGAGTAGGTGGCATCGCAAACTAGTTCAATATGATTGTTATCTCAGAATCCATGCTATTGGAAGCCCAGTTATCTCTTTCTGCTTCTAAGAACTTTCTATGACCAGGAGACTGTGCTCCAGGAACACGTCCCTCACGTCACTAATCCACACCCATAGGTTTGACCATGATAAACGCAATGATCAACACCAGGGGCATGTGTAAACCCTTCTTCATTGGTGTTTTTTTTTTTTTTAAACTATCCCATACATGATCCCTACAGAGTAATCAAAGGGATAATGCCCCTGGGCTTCAATAAGTTTTTATCCACTGGCCCCTCTCCCATGTAGCACTTGAGGTATGGTTCCTTACTGCCCCTTGACTTCCCACTGGCATCCCTAATCTCTCTAAACCTTCGTGTAATCCATTCCTTCTCTTTGTTATCTTTTGCTTTCATCCTTCATCTTGTCTCACCTGCTACACACAAGCAACACTCCCTTCAACTAACAGTTCCCTGAAGTTATTCATTTCCACTTACATGTAAGAGAGGTCCATGTAATCTGCATTCCATATGGCTCAGTCAGCAAGTGTCCACTGTTATGACACTGATCTAAGTATGGTACGAAGAGGAAGTGGGTGGAGGGCCAGGGTGCAGGGGAACCAAGAACCATTTGTAGATGTTTGTAGATGCGTGCTAAGTGTCTGCTAAGTTACCTGTTCTCACTAGACATAGAGAAGCACGTTTGTTTAAAGAGAGGTTATGCCTACTTTCTGCTTGTTCTACCTAGACATAGAGAAACACGTTTGTTTAAAGAAAGATTATGCCCATACTTTCTGCCTTTGAAGCAAAATTAAAAAATCAATACAGTGTCTTTCTCTCACAGATCCACAACTTTTTCCCAATTTTCGGCTATATAATTGCAATAGAATAAATGTAAAATTAGTGATGCTTTCTCTCCCAGCCAGTTGTGCAACAGCACAAAATGTCTCAGCTTTGACCCCGAAGATGAAATAAATGCCTGTCACAATCTGCTCCAGTCTGCCCTCATTGGAGTGGACAGGTAGAGACTGTCTTTAAGTCACCCCTGACTTGTCACAAGAACACAGTCACAAAGTCAGCAAACTGGCTAAACACTTTCTGCTGGAATATAAAGAAACCCCCTTTTCTAAAGTTATTCTCTTTCAAATACCAATATCCAACTAAAATTGTGCTAACAAACATACATACAAGCATTTTAAGTTTATTCATTCTAATCATATTTTAAAATATAGTCTGCTTCCTAAAGGACTAAAAGGGAGAAGATGCACCAAATTACTGTCTGGTCAGTTTTCTTAATTCATGTGTAATAGCAGTTTTGCTTAGGGCATGACACACACATAGGAATGGCAATATTGAAGCATGGAAACAAAATTCCAACTGCCAGTCTGATCACAGAGCCTCCCTGGTTTGTCGTTCACAGTTCTCAGGGCTTCCTAAAAGGTAAAGAATTCTCGTGCATTCTCAAGCAGTTTCATTATCTTCTTTTGGTTAGCACCATTCAACCGTTCCCCCCAGTAAGGAAAGCTGAGTTACTTAAGCCCGTTTTGTTTCTTTCTTGGGACTCACTAAGCTTTCCAGACTTCCAGGGAGTCACAAGACTCAGTTATTCTGGGAAAGTTAGGAGAGCTGTCACCTGCACCACAAGTCAGGAATAGAAAGAACTGCTTAAGAGTCCACTATCAAGTTTTTAAACACAGAAGGGGCGTGGAAAAAGAGACCTGAAAAGGAAAGGAACATGACCACTCCTAGGTAGGATGGAGGAGAAAACTTACTACAGATGAAAGGGAGAGTGCACGCAGAGACTGGACCATCTGGGAGAGTCCAGAGTGGACTTGATGACGCGGAGCTGTGACCTCTTCACATGGGGAAGGGAAAGTGGGGGAGGGGGACAAGCTGCAGCAGCTAAGAGGGCAAATGTACAAAAGTGTAGGTAACCTAAATGCCTGTCTTTAGAGGAAAGAGCCTCTCGGGTAATGGCAGCTCAGGTTCTGGGCTGGAGAGTGTAGTGGGCAGGGTATGCTAGCCACACCCTGGAACTGGCAGAAACCGAGAGATGCTGAAGAACCCAGCAGCCAAAAACCCAGCAGCCAGGTCCGCTTTGATGCGTTAAATAGGCACCTCACTTAGCCTTTTGGCCAGGGTTTGAAAGTGAAAGGAAGGTAACTAGCAACTACCTAAATGATTCTCTTCATTATTAGGTACCAGAATCTGAGGTCCAGAAAAAGAGCAAAAATAGTGTCTAAGAAATTGGCTAAGCTCTGGGACTGGGTTGACGTCTTCAGAAATTCCAGCATCCTTGGATTTCACTCCCTAAGGAAATCTCAAACGAGAGTAAGGCCAATGAGCACCAGCATCTGCCAAAATCGAAACAAGCTACCTTTTAAAGCCAAAGCAATTAACTTCCCCACCTGCATTTGAAAGTTCCAAGACCTGAGAACCATAGGTCTTTCAGGCATGATTCCTCAGATATTAATTTGTTACAAATGACTGGAAAATTGTTTTTGAGACAGGCTCTCACTATCTCTCTATGTTTCACTGTTTGGCCTAGACTCATTCTGTAGACTGGGCCGGCCTTGAAGTAATAATAGAGTACCGCCTGCCTCTGCCTCACAAGTGCTGGGATCATGAATTAAAAAAAAAAATGAAAACAAGACTCCTAGATTAGTGGCAGAAGGGGAAGGTTTATTGTAGCTATGAGGGAGAGCGTAGGCAGAGGCATCTGGAAGAGTCCAGACTGGACCAGGCCATGAGAGGAGAAAGAGGGGTAGGGAAAGAAAGGAGGAAGACAAGAGAGAGGGAGGCAAGAGAGGAGCTAAGGACCAAGAGACCTAGCCCAAATGGCTGGGTTCTTGTGGAAGCTGGAGGAAGGGAAGGGGGCAGTGTATGCCAGCCAGGATGACTCTGTAACAGGTACTGAGAGAAGCTGGGAGAACCTGGGGATCAAGTCCACTCTGGTATGTAAATAGACACCTCAGTTAGACATCAGTCCCGAGTTTGAGATCTTACACATCCGATCTAAGATTTTATTATTTTTAATTATTTGTATGTGCATGTCTGTGCAGTCCCAGCACTGATGACACAGATGCACACACACATACATACAGACACATACACAGACAGACAGACACATACACAGACAGACAGACAGACACACACACAGAGCGAATACCTGTTGTTCCAGAGGTAAAAATATACAGGCACGTAGACTTGAGGCTTGAGGCGACATGATGGCTTGTGGGCACTGGCTCATCAGAGGCCAAGTTCATCTTTTCTGTAAGTGAAACCACACCTTGTGGAACAGAATCCTTCATTCCCCAAACACGAATGTGCTTGGGGAGGCTGGGAAGGATTTCTTCTATGCTTCCAAGCAAATCTGAAAAGCAAGCGGTTAGAAATAGGTTAAAAAAAAAAAAAAAACCAAACACACCCGGGATCTCAAATTTCATGTTGGGTTTCTTTCACGTGTTGGGACAGAGATAAAATGGAAATAAAGTATCCTCTCTGCTTGATTGAGCTACAGCAAGGCTACTTTGTGCTTGTATTTTTTGGTTTGGGAAGCTTTGTCACCCCAAATGCCCCAAGTTTGTCCTTGAATTTGCAATTGCCCACCTCAGTTTGCAAAGTCCAGGGATTGTAAGCACGAGCCACCTTTCCAAGCCCTGTTTCTCTCTTTCAACTGGATTCTGGTTCTATTTCAACAGGACTAAATGAAAAAACAATTTTGTCACATCTGATTGAACAACACAAAGTGGAATCACAATAAATGTTGGTGGTTTTGATACCTTCCTGCTAAAAGACTACACTTCAGCTTCCATGCCAGGCTCAGCAGGCCCTGAAGAAAGCGGTTAGGGAGTGGTAATAGTTTCTGCAGCTGTAAGACACCAGATCTCATCTTCTGTAGGCTTTTTGGTCATCCACACATTTGTCCCCTCAACTGAGGTCAGACCAAGCCTCTCTTTCTTCCTGCCGTCTATCTCTTTACAGCTATCTTAAATAATCTTATGTATTCTATTACTACAATTGTTATAGTTTCCCAATTTCTAAATAAAACTACTTCCTAGAGTCTTTTCAAATTTAATATTAGGATACTGAAGTAGACATTTTGTTCTAAATACAACTTGGTCGTTAGTTATTCCAGGAGAACACCTGGGTGTTAAATTGCTCCTCTTTCATGAAACACACTTGAGGAAATCCCTTGGCCACTCGGGAGTCCTAGGATCATTTTGGTTTCCAGGCCATTTTGAAGCCAAAAGCTAATAAATTCAGAGAGAGGCCTGTTCTCTAGGCAATGTGATAAGTAAAGTTGCAAACCCCTGAAGCAGAGGAGGAAAGAAAAAATGCCTTTCAGAAACATCCTTTATGCAGGGAAGGATGTGACAGGGCCAGCTGAGAGTGCAGTGACAGCCCAACCTCCAGCAGCAGCTTGGGGCTCAACACCAAGGACAGAAACAAAGTGAGGCAGAAAAAAAGGAGCAGTTAACGTTGAGAGCTTAAGTACTCACAACTGAAAACCTTTGGGGCGCAGTTAGTTCAAGGGTCTGAGGTTTGAGGGATGAAAAAACAGCCAGGGTTTAGGAAACTCAGTGTTCCCAGGATTAATAATACAAAAAGGCAATGGCTGAAGTAAGGGGAGACTAAATTATTTGAAACTCTCATTTGGCCACGAATGTAGGATAAAATGCCATACTGTAAAGGTCACTGGTGGGGGAGAAGGGAGATAAGGCAGTGGTGAGCCCCTCAGGAGGAAGCGTTAGATATTAAGGTACCCAGCACTCAACCGTATAGAAAAGAAACAAAATCTATCCTTCCTGAAAACTCTTTTTCCAGAATAGAGAAAGAGCTGTGTACATCACATTCTTTTTGCTGGAATTTTGCCTTAGTTTAACACGGGTCTCTGAGAGTAGGGTACAAGTTTTATATTTATTACAGTTGTTAGCTTTGTCCCATATTTCTAGGATGTTTCTTTTGCCAGGTGTGAGGGACTTCTGCTTATTTTATTGCTTATTTTAAATTGACATTGACACTAACATTTTAGGTGGAGCTGCACAACGACACCCACTAGCCAAGGACTACTGGCAGCCACCAGAGCCAAAGTAAAGGCAAAGAATGTCTTTTATACTTCTCTGTGAGCATGACCCTGAAACCTCCCTGGCTTTAGCAGCCTTCAGAACTAGGCCAGATACAATTCCTTAGTTTAAACTGCCAGTGCAGGCTATTTTATCACAGCGTCTCCAGGAGGCTAATAAACCAAGTTCTGAAAATGATGCCCAGTGTAACTGGTAATCAAAATGAAATGAAGCAATTCCCAAACCACGTAAGCATCATAAAAGAAATCAGTGAATTGGCTCAGAGGTTAAAAATGTGCACTGCTTTCGCAAAGGACCTGAATTCAGGGTCCAGCACCTACATTAGGCACTCACAATGGCCTGTCATACAGCTCCTGTGGCCAGATGATCCTCTGGCATCTTTGTGCACCTGTGTTCAAGTGCAAATACCCCCACAAGGATACACACAAATAGACATACTTTAAAAAAAATGGTGATTAGTAATAATACTTTTTAGTGTACAGTAGACCCTGGTCAGAATGCTCTAGAATATATGAAATTTGGCCTGCACTTAAAAAAGCAACTATGTGTTATTTAATTCTTAAAATTAAACTGAAAACATTCTAAGGGGACCCTGGGTCGGCCTAAAGGGCAGGAACTCCAGGGAATGGAGGTAGGGTAGGAAGCTTTTTTCTAGAACTAACAGGCTTCCTGCTGAGGTAAGTAAACTCAGAAGCAGGTTCCAATGGAAAAGCAAATTCATTACTCCCTTGCTGTTTTAAGGGACTTAAAGCATTATTTTTTGCTTTTCTTTTAAGTGTCAATGATAATTTAATAAAGATTTCTCCTTTCAATGAGTAAAAAAAAAAAGAAGTAAGCAGAGTTTCGTTTGTTTATTTTTGTTTTGTTTTTCAAGACAGGGTTTCTCTATGTAGCTTTGGAGTCCATCCTGGTACTCACTCTCTCTCAGTCTGTAGACCAGGATGGCCTCAAACTCATTGAGATCCGCCGATCTTTGTCTACTGAGTGCTGGAATTAAAGGTGTATGCCCCCACCAACCGGCGCAGAGAGTTCTTAAAAGATAAAACGCAAAAGACTAAGAAACACTTAATGAAATGTTCAACATCTTTAGCCATCTGGGTAACACAAATTAAAACTCTTTTGAGATTTCATCTTAACCCAAGATCAAGATCAATAAAACAAATGGCCAAGATTAATAAAACCAATGGCAGCTCATACTGATGAGGATGTTGGATAAGGGGAACACTCATTTATTGCTGGTGAGAGTGCAAACTCGTACAGCCACTGTGGAAATCAGGGTCATAGTTCCTCCAGAATCTGAGAATATATCTGCCTCAATACCCAGCTATACCATGTTCGTGCACATCCCCGAAGGACTCTGTGTCCTATTACAGAGGCTCTTACTTAACCAAGTTCATTGCCGACTGTTCCTAATAGCCAAAAATCAGAAACAGCCTAGGTGCCCATCAACTGATGAATGGATCCTGAAAACACGGTGCGTTTGCAGAATGGAATACTATTCCGCTGTTAGGAAAACTGATTACTGAAATTTTCATTTAAAAGGCTGGAACTAGGACAGAAGTATCCTGAGTGAAGTAACCTAGGCCCCAAATGACAAATATTCTATGTTTTCTCTTTTATGTACATGTTAGCTTTTAAGCTTTCAAAATATATGCTTTCACCCAAATAACCATAGAGATTAGGTACCTAATATGGGACCAGAGGGGGAGGAAAGGATCTCCCAAGGAAGAGGAAATAAAATAAGTGTAATGGAGAGACAAGGGGAAACTAGAATAGGAAGATTAAATAGGAAAGGGGACGGGGTGCAGGGTAAACAAAGGAATATGGGGAGGGACAACTAACACTAAAGGCCATTTGAAATATTTATGGAAACCGACTACTGTAGAAGCTTCCTAAGATGTTTCAGTCCTAGTGACTAACACTCACGGTACTAAAAGTGGAGAAAGGTACAGTCATGTCATCCAGCTACAAACCCTGTGTGTGACCAGCAACAGTGACCTGGCTGCAGGATATATTGGTGCAATAGTGGCATAGAGGGGAGCAGGTGGAAAGATCATAACAGCCAGAGGTGATGGGTGACTCCAAGCAAAAAGTGTCTTCCAGGCCCAACAGGACCGATGCACATATGAACTTACAGCTACTGTGACAGCTGCTGGCCCTGCACAGGTTCAGGTCAGAAGGGGTCCCAGCACTGAGACTTTAGGTAGACATGGGGTCGAATGCCTAACCAGGAAGCTATCTCCAGTTGCTGTCTGCTGGAAGACGGAAGGTCAATTTTTTCCAAAGGAGTCTCATTGGGTGTGTCAACCATATTTTAGGGCAGGCCCATGACCAGGAGTCACTGGGCAGCACAAGCAAACTTAATAATAAATATTTTTGTAGACTTATTTTATTTTACTTTGATTTTTTTTGTCCTTTGCTTGTTTGGTTTGATTTTCATTTTTGTGTGTAGTTCGTGTGTGTGTGTGTGTGTGTGTGTGTGTGTGTGTGTGTATTTCTTGGTTTTGTTTTGGTTTCTTTGTTGTAGTTGTTGTTTGAGAGAAGACAAAAAAACATAAAGATGGGTGAGTAGGGAGGCCAGAAGGATCTGAGGGGCTGGGGAAAACCATGATCAAAACAGATTGTATGAAAAATATTTTTTTCAATAAAATTAATTAATACCAATGAATGAGTCAAATGGCACTAGACAACTCATAAATAGAACTTATAAGAAACTGAAAGCAAACACATAAATAATGAAGCATTACACTGCCAGGGAGCTAGGGGTTAGGTCTTTAAATGTCCTATTAATCTTTACTTCTACCACAAATACAAATTAAGCAAAATATAAGAATCCAGGAGAATGTTCAGTTCTGGTGAGTGTATGCAGATATGCAATATTCTGACTTTCAGTTTTGGTGAGTGTATGTAGGTATGCGATATTCTGATTCTCAGTTCTGGTGAATGTATGCAGGTATGCAGTAGCTAGTTTTCCTACGATGTTTAATAGTCTGTATTGCAGAAGGAGACTCAATGCATTTTGGTTTGTTTGTTTGTTTTTCAAGTGTTTTTTTTGAAAACATGCAAAAATTTCAGGCAGGTTATTAGGTGGAATCTCAAGTGTAAAAATGAGTCAGGGATGATCCTGTGTGTGAGCACTCAGGCCCTTAGTACAAAACAATTCTTCTTCTTACATCATCGTTGCACCTCTTAGTCACTTTTCTGAGACGACAAAAGCAGTAACAAGAATTTCACATGTCTGTCTAACATGCCATGCCAATTGTGCTTTGCATTTTGTTTTGTTTCA